GTGGGGTCAGAAGCCTTAGGCAACTATAGTTATAACCCATGTGAGGGGACTTATATCCCCACGTATAACTACCCATGAACCTCCAAGTAGAAGGCCTCCCACCCCGAAGCCACTTGGCAGGATGTAGGTGCCCTGGCTCCGGTCTTGGAGGGACCTAAACCCTAAGCCAGCATGACTGTCCCAATCGCTAGCAAGGATCTCCGACACCAGGTCACCACTCTTTTAGAGTTGTCAAACCCTAAAGCCCTAAATCCAAACACCCAGCCGCAGCATCGCAGAATAGCCTATGCAAAGACGGGCTTGGAGCCCCAAAGCCGGGTTCAGGGTTTAGGGTTTATGGTTTTAGGGTTTTAGGGTTTAGGGTCTAGGGTTCAGGGTTTAGGGTTTAAAGTTTAGGGTTTAAGTTTATGTTATTGCAGCATACTGCATCGATTGTAGTATAAAGCCCAGTGTCAATGTGTCGTCCAAGCCCTCCAAGCTCGGTTATAGCACAGTACATCATAGGCGAATATCCATATTCTGCTACAATATGTTATGATATATAATGCTATGCTACGTCTGCTGTACTATTTTGCACCATATTGCACTATTTTTTATTTTCTTATTAAACTATAATATAGTTTAATGTCATATTATGACACAACTATATGACACTACAGTACATCATATCATCGTATGTTATGTTTCAGAGTAGTGCCAAACCCAGGTCCTGGGATTCCTTCGTGGAGGCGTGCATGCTCGCCGGGACAGAGCCGCTCGAGATCAGCTTAGATGGGTTCAGGGCTTAGTTTAGCATGTGGGATTTAGGGTTTAGCACCTGTTGTTTAGGGTTTAGGGTTGAGCATTTGGGGTTTAGGGTTTAGCCGTTTAGCGTTTGGAGCTTAGGAGTTTGGGTTTAGCATTTAGGGTTTAGGGTTTGGGGATTTTTGAGAGGCTTGAAGCTTCGTAAGACTTGGCGTTCAGGATTTCGGGTTTCATCGGTGCTGGTCTAGGACGTGATATGAGAGTTTCACGTAGTTTCATCACGTGACAGCGCCTCTGATAGAAGTATCCGTATGCTGAGGCGTCCCACGAAGTTTCAGACACCCCGGTATTTCTTAAACAAAACTCCTAAACCCCAAACTCTAGACCCTAAACCTACACACAGGAACCTTTAAAGCATACCTTGAAGGAACCCTTTTCTAAAGGGAACCCTTTAGAGGCGGCCATGAGTTCGGCCCTGGGTCCCGGAATTGTGGCTTTGGGGTTTAGGGATGTGTAGGGTTTAGGGGTTAGGGTGTAGGGAGATGTAAGAAGGGATGTGTAGGCTTTAGGGCTTAGGGTTTAGGGAGATGTAAAAAAGGGAGGTTTAGGATTTAGGGTTTAGGGAGATGTGAAGCAAGGGATGTTTAGGGTTTAATGATGTAGGATCCTTTAGGGATGTGTAGGGTTTAGGGTTTAGGGAGATGCAAAAATAAGGGATGTTTAGGGTTTAATGATGTAGGGTGTTTTGGGGACCCAGTGGCTGCTATTACCAGCACCCCCCAAACAAACGAATTGCATAGATTTTATGGCACTTGTATCGGAACTATAACTCTAAGGGGTTTACTGGTGCTATTTAGTTTTGCAGACCTCTATGTCAGTCTTAGGGCTTTCTGGGCTCGGATTCCCACTCAGAGGCTGCATAGTGTAATTGTTAAAGTGTATACATATATATATATACACACATACACACACACACCTATATATGTATACATTTTATACCATACTTTGATTTCGCACATTAACTGTTATGTCACAGTACGTTGTGGCACCATCGTATATGGCTTCTTGTCGCTAAGCTGCACGCGCCGAGGTACTGCCTCACCTACCCGTACTTGAACTTGAGTGGGCCGCCAGTGCAGCATCTGGCACCATTACCCAAAGAGTCCTAAGTACCTATATAGTAGAATGTTGGGTTTCTATAAAAATAGGAAGTGCTATTCTGATTGGGGAAAGTATTCCCCCATAACAGTACCTAGGACCTTTGAGTTCTTACTTTTGAACCCTCGCCTTTAGTGCATGGCTACGATGTTCTCTTTGCGAGCAGTTCGCTAGGTGGAGCTGCCTCAGCTGACCGGTCCGTGCTCTTGTACTTAAAAGATCATGGGACTTAGTAACTGGGGATTTTATTAGGGTAACTATATTTCTAACTACTTATAACCCCAATTAAGGTACGTATAACCATACTTACTTGGAGGGTCATGGGTAGTTATTTGTAAGTCCGTTGATATGGGTTGAAACTATTTTTGGCTACCCTACTTATAACCGCACTTATAACTACCCATGAACCTCCAAGTAGCTGTTGTAAGGAGGCCGTCCAAAAGGCGACCGAGCCCATACACGGGGTTAAGGGACCCTGGAACAACCGAAAGCATTAGGTCAAGCGCAAACCTTATACCTCCGCGGTACAATCCCAAAGGGCCCTAAGTACCTACATCGTAGAATGTAGGGTTTCTATAGCAGGAATTACGATGATGGTTTGGGCAAATATCCCCAATTCGGTACGTAGGACCCGTCGGGAATGCAGTATGCGAGTAAGTCAAAGTAAACATCCAGATGCATCCTTTGTAGTCTAGGACCTCAGCTTTAGAGTTTTACAGGGTTCAGAAATAGGGTTTAGGGTTTAGGTGCTACTCCCCTCAAGATCGATGAACCTCCTAAACGTTCTTTCTTCCATGGAAAACAAATCCATGCTAACCCTAAACCCTAAACCCTAAACCCTATTTTGAGGCTAGGCAGCGAGAGCCTGAGACCACGATCCGACTGAGGCAGGCAACGACGCAGCAGCAGCAGGCCCGTTTTAACTTCGAGGCGGCCGTGTACATCATCAAGCAGCCCTTCGGCCCGAAGTTCATGGGTTTGGTTGGGGTTTAGAGGTTAAGTTTAGGGGTTTAGGGTTTAGGGTTTAGGGGTTTAGGGGTTTCGGGTTTAGGGGATTTCGGTTTAGGTTTTAGGGGTTTAGGAGTTGGGGGTTTAGGGTTTAGGTTTTATGGTTTAGGGGTTTATAGGGTTTAGGTTTTAGGGTTTAGGGGTTTAGGGGTTTCGGGTTTAGGGCTTAGTATTTAGATTCAGATGAGCCGACACGTAGGCAAAGCCTTGATTCCGGTCGGCCATCTGGGATGGTGGGCCGAAGCGACATCACGCGCTGGAGCATCACGGGACATACTGGGCAAGTTATGACTGGGGTGAGAAGTACCGTGTGTTTATACCATTTTACTTTTTCAGTTTCCGCAAAGTTTCCGAATCTCTTGAGAACCCTCCACAGCCGCCGATGCAGTGCATTTGCAATCACAGCTGATCCGGTCTGATTTGTTGGGCTTTGGGCCAAAAGTGCAATCTCTCAGATCCTGGACATGACCAGCCTGACTATTTTTTCGTACCTTCAAGAATTTCCTAAGGTCCTAAGCCCCAAAGGACCCTAACACCCTACAGTAGAAGCCCAAAAGTGGGAAACCGAATAGCCTCAATCCTTAAGAGTACTCAAACTCATTGTCCTTAATCAGGTTTCCAACTTTTTGGGGGTAAACCCTAAACCTTAAACCCTAAACAATTAGACCCAAACTCAGCTCTGTGACTCGAACTCGCGTACAGTTTCCGGGTAGATATTTGTAGTGAGGGGGGGGGCTACGGGTTCAGTAGGAAATGAAGCTTGCTATAAACAGGCCATAGACTTAGCATCGTAGTAGTATCAACCAAGTCCATTGCTTCAAAACAAGCTAGCATTATGAGTTAGGGCACACTCCTAGATTGGAGTCCCTTCTAGTTTGAGGTATATTTCTGAATCAGCGGGTTTGGGGCTCTTTAGTCCTTAGGCTGGCGTTTGAGTTACAACACCGCGCGGGTACCACAAGGCCATAGGGGTCGGACAATTGGCAAAAAGTTGCCCGCATAGTTCCTTAGATAGATATGAGCGCCGTATGCGAATTTGTAAGAAGCCCTCAAGGAACAGCTGTATACCCTGGACCCTAAATCCTAAACCCCCTAAACTCTAAACCACCCTAAACTCTAAAACACCCTAAACCCCCTAAACTCTAAACCCTGTTCTGAGTATGAAGTCGTCTATGTTCGGGTCATAGGGCCGGATTCGGGATGCAAGGTGATCGCGTCCTGAAGACAGAAGCTGGAGTACATGGTGATCATACCCACTTGAAACTCCCTCCTCTCTCTCAGATACATAGATAGGTGTGTAACTGTATGTATATATATATATA